AAGAAACAATTCGGCATAATCAAATATCATATCAGTTTGGGGTTCCCTTAAATGAACTGATCCACAAAATAGCCTTTTCAGAAAGGATCAAGCCAATTCATACCTAGGATTCGTCTCACAATCATCCAGAAAAAAGACAAATGTGTATGGTAACAAAACTTGCATTATCTTCGTTCCAGGTGGCTCAAAAATTTCAAGAGTCGAGACAATTTCACCAAAGGTGGAACTGAAAACCAATGTGTTTCCAGACAAAAAACCTGATGGGTCTGATTTCTGTAGTATTCGTTTATTTTTGAAAGTAGAATTTTAAATCGATACTTTTTCATCCATTTCGTTTGCTAATATCAATATCTTTTTCATTTTACGTTATTAATATTTGGTGCATGAAATGAGACAGAAAAATTTATTTTTATAAAAAAATCGTTAGTGTATTTCTTATGAATGAACGTTCAAGAATGAGTTCGTTCAGTACAAAAAATGATTTCGAAGACGACTTATTATACTGGAGGTTCAAGAGTCAATCACCATTGGCTGATGTATAAATGTGACATGGGAGTTTCGGAATTCCAACCATCTAATTAGTTTAAGAGATGACATTTCTACGCAGTTGGTTGCGATGTCAAATTCTGAATTTAACGTGTTTTAAAATTTTCAATCGCATTCCATGTGACAAATAAAATGTATGTAATTCGATATATCGCATCGCAGAATCCAGTATTAAAAGATTTGTCAAATGTCACGTGATCGATATATTAATTTTGAAAAATCATCTATTAGGTCACCATATCAAAAATATAGGTAGGTTAACTAGAAGAATATGAAAATAATCAGATGAATTTAAGATGAAATTACAAAATTCTGACATAATTTCATTTGCCTAACACAATTGTTTAAATATTGGGGAGAGGTAATGTATCCTTTGTATGTATATCCTTTGGTATGTCCATGGTTTCTACAGGAAAAACTTGATGTGGATATAATTTTATGTTTTGACATTCGTCTTCATGTAATAAAATTTTCATGTACATTTTAGTTTTGGTCGTTATGTTATATTGAGTTTATTTGTATGAACTTGTATAAAATATAGTTGGGATATTTGTGAAGTATTACCTTTTCCAACAGATAACTTTCGAAATTGAATACAGTGACGATACAAATTCACCAACTCTGAAATATACTTCAACATTGCTCGAGAAAATTTTGAAGATTTTTTAAACGGTTTTATGTAGATCTTCCTGTCTGTTTGATTGGGTCGAATTCAGTAATTGAAGTTTGACCCCCTTTCTGTTGACAGACTGATCTGATATTTGGTACCCTACATGATGTACATGATGGTACACACCATTGATGTAAATCCAAGATAGACACAGCTACAAAATGGCGGAATATAAAAGAGTTTAACTCGATCAAAAAATAAATTTATATTCAACCATTCATCTATCAATTTTCAATATTTGCTGTAAATGACAAGACAACTGTTCATTCCTCCAAGATGTTAACCAAAACAAAATTCTATTCAATTTATTTTTAAAAATTCATCACAAATTTCAATTAGCACTTTATTCCTGTCTGATGATAAACTTAGTCACTTTTGCATTCCATACCACAGACATGGATCTTTTCTCCTTTTCCAATATTTTAGAAAATATTTTTTGACAAGACAATTGACAGTTGACTTGGACATGTCCCTTTCACAAGATGTATAAAAAAT